ATAATAATAATAATAATAATAATAATCATAATCATAATAATGATAATAATAATAATAATAATAATAACATTAATAATAATAATAATAATAGCAATAACAATGTTGTATAAAAGTTTGTAATTATGCTGATATAAAATGTTATTCTGTTGCATAAATATTTCATCAAGCAGGCCGGCTTGCACTTGCTATTCTTATCAACATATGTCAGTCATAAAGTCACATATAGATAAACACAGTGCAAAGCGCAGGATGTTTGGTTTATCTTAATTACCTTATCTCGTAACGATAACAAGAATAACCTATTTCTTCATTGTTGCTTAAATTGACGAGATGAAAACTCATCACTGGTGAGATATATAGATAAATTCTTTTGTTGATCACGTCGCAAACACTTTTGTTTATTGTGTCACAAACAAAGCATCTGGTCATTGTGCTTTCTACATTCACCAAGTGCATTATTTTCCCATGCTGGTCTGAGAATGCTTTGAGATGTCAGTGTGACATTTATCAGTGTGACATTTGTGCGCGTGCGTCTGTGTGTGTGTGTGTTTATATAGTGCAGAAAATGAAATGTTACACAACCTCAATTTCAGCACAAGACTTCAACGCTTTCTGCTTCATCTTATCCAGATCGTCATAATGACACGTTTAGCCCTCGGTTAATATTTTTAAAGAGTGAAGTGAGATTAGAACTCCAACTTTCATGTCTTATTGCTCGGAGATAAGATATTGGATACGTACTGATTGTGAGATATTTAACTAACTTATGACCATTAAATTACATATTTTACGTACATTTTATTTATTTACATTTTATAATCAATTTGCAATTTCTTTAGATTCTCTTATTTGATACAATAAATCATAATATAGGTAAATAAATTAGAAAGGTATGGTATTAGAGGAGTTGACTTGGACTGGATAAGCAGTTATTTAAAAAATAGGCAACAGTTCGTGGAAATTGGCAACCTTAAATCTTCATACCTAAATGTAAATTGTGGCATACCACAAGGATCAGTTTTAGGTCCAATATTGTTTATAATTAACATTAATGATGTGTGTAAAATATCACAGTTTATTTTATTTGCAGATGATACGAGTATCTTTTGTTCTGGGTATAATTTACCAAAACTTATGGAGTTGATTAAAACAGAAATTAAAAATTTTTAATTGTGTTTTGACGTAAACAAATTGTCATTAAATATAAGTGAAACAAAGGTTATGTTATTTAAGAAATTAACAAGTAGTTATATTATAGATTTACAAATTGATAATGAAGTTATAGAAAGAGTTAATGCAATTAAGTTTCTTGGTGTTGTATTGGATCATAATATTAGTTGGAAACCTCAAATAAACAATGTGATATCAAAATTAGTCAAAACTGTCGCAATAATGTATAAAGCAAGATTTATCCTGGACAAGAAATCAATGTATATATTATAAACCACACTTATGTTGCCGTATATGAGTTATTGTGTTGAAATTTGGTGGAATATACGATCCATATGTACAATGCAGAAACTAGTCATTTGACTAACAGAACATGTGGGGTGTTTGGACAAGGGTGCAATTCTGGTTTGAGAGGTGTGGGGGGGGGGGCAAATCTGAGTGATGGTGATATTGTTGTGGAACGTTGGTGATAGTTTAAGAAATGTGCAGCAATATTAAGTAATTGTGTGCAGAAAAGCCTAAATTTGAAAAATAACCTTTTTCGACTCTCGAGGAAAAACTATAGCATGAAGTAAAGTGCTATATCTAAAAAAAAGTGAGGGGGACATGTCCCCCCTGTTCCCCCCGGGAATTGCGCCACTGTGTTTGGAGCATACAAATCCTTTATTTTTTTTAAATTGAAGATGCTTAAGTTCGATGATTTGGTTAAATTTAAAACAGCACAAGTCATGTCCGAAATGCATGCAAACGTTATTTGAGGAAAGACAAAAGGGATATAGAAGAACAGAATTTTGAAAACAAGGACAACTTTAAAAATGTTGTGTATGTCTGTATGTTGTGTGAAATTATGGAACAGTCTAGATCAGACTCTCAAACAATGTCAGGATAATAATCAATTAAAAAAGTTATACATTAAAATATATATTATTAAAGGAATATAGTGATGAAGATGATTGAAATAGGATAAAATGAGAAAGGTATGATGATATTTTAATTAATGCCTATTTGGAGTACTGTTTTTTTTTGTGTGTGTGTGGGGGGGGGGGGTGGGGGTGGGGGGGGTCTATGTTACAAAATGAAAAAGTACAAATGGAATCAAACATTTAATTTGTCAAAGATTCCAAAAGGATCAAATATGTTTAATGTAAAAAGAAGAGATGAGTAAAAGAAGAAATAAGTTTAAGTAATAGCAAATGATGTATGTGGTAATGGGGTGGGAAAATAATAAGCTTGTGCTTCATCCCGCTCCATTTTCAACCATGTTGAAATACATATTTTTATTAATGATATTTTATGTATGATATTTCTGTTCGAAAATAAATCAAATCGAACCAAAATCATTTTCGCAATGTCATTTTGACATTTTTGTTCATTTAACTGTAATAGTTTTATATGTATTAACATTAATCCATTTAACAGACAGACAGACAGACACAATGCAACCTCATAATACTTCATAATAAGTGGGAATTATGGAAAAAAATGTTAGTTAACATTAATGAATCAGCCTAAATGCATGAATTCATACTCATAATCTCCCTCCAAAGCAATAAGCAACCCAGGCTCATTCTGAAAATGTTACCCTATATACATTTCTGCAGAGCGCCAAATACATCCCAGGAGATACATTTTTTTTTCTGTTTTTGTTTTCACGAATTCCCCAGAGGCCGCTGTGTAGGCTTTTTCAGATCTAAAATTTCTCTCATGAGTGCCATTCACGCCTGCTGCTCTCGCGTAAAACCACCAGAGGCCGCTGTTGACTGATGCCTCGAGGTTGTTGCTAGAGCGGATACGTTTGCGGCCGGAAGTTAACGAGAATTATTTCTATTATTTATTAAATTTCTCATTTGTTGTATTTTATTAACGTCTACCCCCACCCCAACCCTAATCCCAACTGTCACAGTAATGTAAAAACAGTTGTTTTACAGAGTATTAGTTATGTTATCTATTAAATTACCCAATAAATTTTATTTTTAAACGCCTACCCCCACCCCAACCCTAAACCCAACGCTTACAGTACTGTAAAAATATTAATTATCGTTATACAGGGTCATAGAAAAATACTGCTTTATTAATGTGCATATCACACTTCCGGCCCGCCGCATATCCAATCTAGACTTTACCATGGTTCGATTGACTGACTGATCGATTGACCCAACCCTATTTCTTTCCTAATCCAACCAATAGTGTTTTTTAAAGCACAGATTGACCCGCCCACCACCTTCCCTAAGCCCAACCAACAGTTTTAAAAAGTAATTTAGAAAAAGAAAAGCCCTCGCCTGATTTTCACCACGTTTTCAGATTTTACCTATTCTCACCCTGTTATTTACCTGTTTAATTTATTTTTTAGCTTTTGCTTTTGTCTTACCTGCTTTCTGGAACCGTTCTTCGCCAGACTTGAACACCATTGTCATGGTCGACTCAAGTCCGTCAACGTCGATGTCGAGCTACTGGGCAAACAGCAGGAAAACCGTCCATACAGAGGTACACAATCAGCTGCTACGCGCAAAAAAATGGCGTTATACCACCCTTAAGCTTTCGTCAGACCGTTGTTCAGTGCTACATTGTTGAACGCAGTTAGTTGAATGCTACGTACCTCTGGCTACATAATTTGCGATCTCCAGAAATGTTTATAGGGGTACATTTTCAGAATAAACCCATGTGCTTCCAGCTAACTCTATCAAGCCTCTTCAACTGCTCCAGAATGCAGCAGCACGAGTGGTCTTCAATGAACCTAAACGAGCACATGTCACTCCGCTGCTAGTCCGTTTGCACTGGCTGCCAGTTGCTGCTCGCATCAAATTCAAAGCTCTGATGTTTGCCTACAAAGTGACTTCTGGCCTTGCTCCTTCTTATCTGCTCTCGCTTCTGCAGATCTATGTGCCCTCCAGAAACTTGCGTTCTGTGAATGAACGTCGCCTCGTGGTTCCATCCCAAAGAGGGAAGAAATCACTTTCGCTCACGCTCACGCTCAATCTGCCCAGTTGGTGGAATGAACTCCCTAACTGCATCAGAACAGCAGAGTCACTCGCTACTTTCAAGAAACTACTAAAAACCCAACTATTTAGTCTGCACTACACTTCCTAATCTGTAATTGCCTCTCTGAATATCACACTAACTGTACAAAAAAAAAAAAATAAAATTACTAATACTACTAATACTTCCCTTCTTAGACTTTACAGACCTGAAACTTGCCTATTCATTTATTCACAATACTTCACTTATTCATTGTTGCTCTTGGTTGTGTAAATTGCTTCCTTGTCCTCATTTGTAAGTCGCTTTGGATAAAAGCGTCTGCTAAATGAATAAATGTAAATGTAAATGTAAATGTCGACAATATGAGTTGAACATTAGAAGAAGAAAAAAACAGCAATTGACCTCCATTCAGTTTTTTTTTTTTTTTGTTTCTACTAAAAATTCCAACGGCTGCTTGCATATCCATCATTTTTCAGGATATCTTGTCTTGTGTTCAACAGAAGGAAGAAATTTATAGTTTAGAAGCATGCGAGTAAATAATTAGTAAATACATTTTTGAGGGATTTGTCCCTGTAACAAAGCCTCTTGCTTTGGAATTTTTCTTGAAAATCATAAAGCAAAGTGTGTCTAAACGCTCTGTGGGGTTCATTGTGCCTGAAATCAAGTAAACTGTCTGTTCTTTGTTTACACCGATGATATAAATGTTTATTTAGACGAGACTGGATCTGCATGTGGACTAGAACTTGTACTACATTCACCACTCTTATCTTGATTGATTACATATGACAATTAAGTGTTGCTTCACTCATTCTCAGAGACCTTTGCTCCTTTGCTTGCATATAAAAGAAGACTAGCAAACATCCTTGCAGAAGTCTCTTTTCTCTTGCTGAAAAGTCCAGCCTATGTGCAATAATTTAAAAAACTAGATCCATTTTTAGATTTTGTTGGTTTGTTTCAGGGTGAAAACGGTTCTTCAGGATGTGGCTGCTGATTATTTGGGTCTCCGTCTTGATTTGGGCTGCAGGAACGTTCTGGTTTCTGTTCAAAAAACCGAGTCCGTTTTCTGCTTCATCGGTGAGGCCTGCAGAACCGTTAGAGCTGGACCAGAAGAAGAGAGATAAAGTGCTGAAACAAGGTAAATACACAGACCATCTTTAAATACTAAATGCTTTTCTGACCTGAGAACGACCTGAGCATGTTTTAAGCCTGTTCTGCTAATCTAAAAGCCAATGTACAATCTCTTAAAGGGATAGTTCACCACAAAATTTTAATTCTGCCATTGTTTTTACTTGTTTCAAACATTGTGTTTCATATGCTGAACACTAAAGAAGATTTAACTGGTAACCATTGACTTTCTTAGTATTTGTTTTTCCTACTATGGAAGTCAATGGTTACAGGTTTCCAGCATTCTTCAAAATATCTTCTTTAGAGTTTAGCAGAAGAAAAAAACTCATAAAAGCATGAAACCACTTGAGAGAGAGTAAATGGGGGGTTAATTTCTTTTTCATTTGAAACTTTCTGTTTAAATGCATACTTCTGTTTTTGTTTTCCGTCAGTAAATGTCATTTAAAAAAACGCATCAGCTTTAGTCAACAGAGGCTCATTCTGAAAACGTAGCCCTGTATACATTTCTGGAGATCGTGAATTATATAGCCAGAGGTATGTATGGCTGCATATTGTCTTGAAAACAAATGCTACAAGGCGGTACAATGTTGTTCCTTTACGCGCTTACAGCTTTCCCACTGTTACCAGTTTGTCCAGTGGCTTGCTGCGTACGTATATATATATATATATATATATATATATATATATATATATATATATATATATATATATATATATATATATATATATATATATATATATAATTTTTTTTTTTTACATTATATATTTTTAATATTTTTGTAATTATTTTTATGGGTGACATGGTGGCTCAGTGGGTAGCACAATCACCTCACAGCACGAAGGTCATTGGTTAAAGTCTCGGCTGGGCCAGTTGGTATTTCTGTGTGGAGTTTGCTTGTTCTCCCCGTGTGTTGGTGTGGGTTTCCTCCGGGTTCTCCGGTTTCCCCCACATGCGCTATAGGTGAATTGAATGAACTAAATGCCCGTAGTGTATGTGTGTGAATGAGTGTGTATGGGTGTTTCCCAGTGTTGGGTTGCAGCTGGAAGGGCATCCGCTGTGTAAAACATATGCTGGAAAAGTTTCCGGTTCATTCCGCTGTGGCACCCCCAGATGAATAAAGGGAGTTAGCCGATCGAAAATGAATGAATGACATTGGCCGTAGTGCATGAGTGTGTGTGTGTGAATGTAAGAGTGTATGGGTGTTTTCCAGTGTTGGGTTGCAGCTGGAAGGGCATCCGCTGTGTAAAACATATGCTGTATAAGTTGGGGGTTCATTCCGCTGTGGCGACCCCTGATAAACAAAGGGACTTAAACTTAAAAAGATAGTTCACCTAAAAGTCAAAATGTACTCACTTGGAGGGCCGGTGTCCTACATATTTTAGTTACAACCCTAATTAAACACACCTGAACACGCTAATCAAGCTTTTTATGTATACTAGAAGCTTCCAGGCAGGTGTGTTGAAGGACGTTGGAGCTAAACTATGCAGGACACCAGCCCTCAAGGGCCGAGTTTGGACACCCCTGCTTCTCACTCTCAAGTGGTTTCAAACCATAGTAGAAAAAAAACCTATTATGAAAGTCAATGGCCTCCATATTTTAACATTTTTCAACATAACTTGAATGAATGGAGGACGAGTAAAAGATGACACATTTTAAATTTTTGTGTGAACTAACCCCTAAATGATTTTTATCTTCCCATTGTAAATAAAGCTTACTATAAGTGAATCAAGTGCACTTATTTTAACAAGAGACCAAATAAGAACTGATCTGTACCTAATTAAAGCATGTTCATTATGCAAAATATTAATTATATGTTCCTATATCTTTATTTATTGACCCACATGATGGAATATATCAGTAGATGATGATGTAATTTACTTTTAAGGCTCTTAAAATGACAAACAAAATATCTCCTTATAGTACACGCATTACATTTGCTATCAGATAACATACACAGAACATTTAATGCAATCTAATTAGGTAAAGCAGTATATTATCAATACCATTGTAAAACAATTAGCATGCGTGTCAAAGGCTCTACTTTATCTGAACTAGATTACCCAGTTGTGATAACAGCCAGATTTCTTTTGTTTAAAGCATTTAAGAGATTACAGATTGCATTTTGTGAGGTTTTGGGAACATTCCAAGTCCTTACCATTATAAAACACTGGTCTTTTCATCTGTCACAGTTTTTTTAGTGCAGAAAAATATTACTTAAGATTTCATGAGCGCAACGGCTTTGAAGTCATTTTTTTTACTCGTATTCATGTTCAGGATAACATCTGTCAAAAAAATATACATATACAACTATATATATTGTATGCATGTATGGTGAACTGTGTGCATATAATATTATATATAATACTTGAATAATGTAACTGCAATACTGATTAAGTAAATAAACCAATGTGAATAAATAAGACTTTCTCCAGAAGAACAAATATTATAGAAAATACTGTGAAAAATTCCTTGCTCTGTTAAACATCATTTGAACAATATTTGAGAAAGAAAACAGAGCGTTAATACATTTGACTTGAACTATATTTACGTACTTTATATGTTCAAGGATTTACCAAGGAAAAGATTCCAGCGAATCTTGATGCGATTATAATAGGAAGTGGGATCGGAGGAATGACGGCTGCAGCCACAATGGCCAAATCAGGGAAGAAAGTTCTGGTTTTGGAGCAACACGACGTGGCAGGAGGCTGCTGTCACACTTTCACTGAGAAGGGCTTCGAGTTTGATGTGGGTACGTACAATCTTTATCAGCAGAGCTTCATTTTTAGATAAATAAATAAGCCTCAAGACACAAGACAACCACCTCAGTCAGTCACAACATTAGAATCACTGGGCTCTATTTTAATGATGTAACGCCCCATTCACACGGGGCGTCAGCGTCAACGCTTCCCATTCACTTTGAATGGATGACGTCAGGCGTTGCCGAACTGCATTGTGGATCCGTCAGCGACACTTCAGAGGCGTTGCTCGCTGCAGAAGTTGGGACCAGCTCAACTTTTCAAGCGCCAACGGAAGCGTCAGCCAATCAGATCGCTGTATGCAAATACACCAGCTAGACAGTGGCCTATTGCTGACTGAATTTCATTGGCTGACGCTTCTATGACGATCGTTTTAGACCAAACTTCAGACACGCCTTCAGTCAAGTGTTGACGCTGAAGCCCCGTGTGAATGGGGCGTAAGCATATTGTCTAAAGCAGGTGCACTTAGAAAATCCACTTTTGCAATTTGAGGTCTGAAAAAACGGTCTGCGCACCCAGGTCATTTTCTAAAAGGGTTGTCCTTTTCAATTCAATTCACCTTTATTTCTATAGCGCTTTTACAATGTAGATTGTGTCAAAGCAGCTTCACATAGAAAATCATAGTAAATTGAAACAGTATCAGCTTAGTTTTCAGAGTTTAGGTTCAGTGTGGTTTAATATTCACTGCTGAGAGTCCAAACACTGTAGGGCAAATCCATCGATGCGCAGCTCTGCAGGTCCCATACCATGCAAGCCAGTGGCGGCAGCGGCAAGGAAAAAACTTCACCAATTGGCGAAAGTGAAGAATTAAAAAACCTCAAGAGAAAGCAGACTCAGTTAGGCACGACCATTTCTCCTCTGGCCAAACGTCTTGTGCAAAGCTGCAGTCTAGGCACCGGAGGCTGGATAAGCTAGACGTCAGCGAGACTCGTCTGTCCCTGGAGCGTCACAGGAATCAGTCTCATGCTCTCCACTCTTCCATGACCACCGCAGCAGCTGCTCAGGATACGGCCTGGTCCAGGATTATGGAAACCTTGGGATCATCTAGTCTGGTCTTGAATTTAATCAGTGGCGCTGCATAGTGTTATTTTTATAGCACGTTATTTCATTGCATTATTACATTACAGTCAAAATCAGAAAGGTTAAGGTTTTGTGTATAGAGACCATAGACATATTAAACCTGTAGTTATACAATATATAATGTTTTTTTTTTCAAAAAAAGTGATGCCTATGTGAATAATACTTAGAACGGGTTTAAAAAAAATATAAAATAAATGTGCTGTTACTAAAATTTAAATCAATAACTTGAAAGATGTTCCCACATGTTAAAGGGCTCCACTACTTCGGTCAGCTGCATGAAAACGGTCTGCTTAAGGTTGCGATGGACCAGATCTCAGAGGGTCAGCTGGAGTTTGTGGAGCTGCCGCAGCATTTCGACAGTATTGTGATTGACGATAAAGGCAAACGGAGAGACTACCCCATCCTGAGCGGCCGGGTGGAGATGGAGCAGAACTTGAAGAAACTCTTCCCTAATGACGTGAAAGCCGTGGAGGAGTTCTTTAAGGTCATGAAGGTACAGCATCTTCATCTCACACACCAACTCCACCCCTAAACCCAGCTCTCACAGGAAACAATCAGCACTTATACATTTTTAAAATGCAACGACAAATCAGAAAAGGTTGGGACAGTATGGAAAAATAAAGTAGTAGAAAGTAGAGCTTTCCTAATTTATTGTACTTGTATTTAATTGCAGACAATATGAGCACAAACTATTTCAGGTTTTGTCATGTCAACTTCATTTCATTTGTAAATATACTGTACATCCTTTCCTGTCATTAAGAAATGCAACACATTGCAAAAAAGTTGGGACAGGAGCAGTTTAGGTCTAGTAATCAGGTAAACTGGTTAAATAATAATGTGATTTGAAACAGGTGATTGTAATTATGATTTGGTACAAAAGCAGCTTCCATGAAAGGTCACTCCTTTAGGAGCAAAGATGGGCCGAGGATCGCCAGTTTGCCAACAAATACGTGAAAAAAATATTGAAATGTTTAAAAACAATGACCTCAAAGAAAGAGAGGAAGACATTTGGTTATTGCACCTTCATCGGATCATAGTGTTTTAAAAGGAATCTGGAGGAGTTTCAGTCCTTTAAGGACAAGGGTGCAGGCCTAAGCTGAACAACAGTGATCTCCGATCCCTCAGGCGGCGCTGCATCAAGAATCCTCATTCACCTATAGGCGATATCACCACATGGGCTCAGGATTACTTTGCAAACCTTTGTCAAGTACCACAATACATAGTTACACCCACACATGCCTGAGAAATCTGTACTGTGCCAAAAGGAAGCCCTATGTTAACAGTGTCCAGAAGTGCCAACGACTTCTCTGGGCTCAGAGGCATCAGGGATGGACCATCCCACAGTGGAAACGCGTACGGTGTTCAGTTTTTTCAGAAATTGACGCCATGTGCTTCAGACCAAAGAAGAAAAGGAAATCCCTCCTTTTTAAAAGTTTATTTCCAGACTGTCCCAACTTTTTCTGATTTAGGGTTGTACTTCATTTTTGTGTGAATTATGAATACCAAAGAAAGTCCCCATAAGGACAAAATTTGATATTTGGTCAAGGGTTGGGTCGATAGACAATGCCATTGTCCATTGGCGATAGACATCACAATGCTGAGCTGGCAGCACAATCCTGGATGGCGTCTCACTCTCATGATATTTAATTAATCTTGTCTCTATCTAACGACTCTGCTGTCTTTTGAATCTATCAGGTAGCGTATCACAGCATCAGTACACTGCTTCAGTCTTTGACTTTCACACTTTCACACAAAACCTCAGATGCTGTAGGTTGGTTCCTGTTGGTTGTGCACCTTGTTTTACCAACCAAGTTTGTGGACGCCATTATAAAGACACAGATCACTCTGCCTATTCATGCCAGAGTCCCATGGAAAAAGTGATTGACAGGTGGTAATTTGTGTGTAACTTCTCTTTATTTCAAGAGTTCACACTTAGATATTGCTTGACAACTGTAAGCAGGTTTGGCATGCTGTCCCAGGAGAGAACCCTGAGCTCAGAGATAGTTGAGCCCAGGGCTCCCACCAGGTCCATAGAGCATGAGAGGGGAGTACGAGATCAGGTGGTTCTCGAGAGCTCCCTTCTTTTTTTGTAAAGGAGAAAAGGAGGAGAAAGGGGGTGGATGGGGGGTTTCTTCGGAAAACGAAGATAAGGGAGTAATATCTAGCTAGGCTACTTATAGTGAGTTAGGATAGATCTGATTGGCTAACTAATGAGTGTAGATAGGTGGCCAGCTGCAGTCAATTATATCACGTGCTCCTGTCGAAATTAGTTTAAAAACTTCACTTATTTATAATTTGATTATGGGTAAAGCAAAGACCATGCGGGTCAGGATGTTGAAACGGTAGGCTACAAATAATTAATTTGTTATGAATTAACTATTTATTCCTAAATAATTAATTCACCGCTGCCCATGATGATAATGCCATCACCCTTTGCGATGTTTCACATTAGACATCGTACCATGCCAAATTGGCCGACATCGCCCAACCCAATTTGGTCCCCACAAGAATAAAAGCACATGTACATGACACAGAGAGGTAACAGTGGCATTATCAAGTTCAATCACTATACAACCAAAAAACCAAGTGTAAAACAGAAAAGAATGCAATATAATATAATGTTGTAAAATAATTGTTGACAATTTTCAATTACTTTCAATTAACCACTTCTTTACATGAATCCATTAAAACAGCATCTGTTTCTTCTGTATGGTCCACAGCTCACAGCCAGGAAAACTCCTCTGATGGCCATCCTGAAGATCATCCCACAGTGGTTTGCTCTCTTTCTGATCAAAAGTGGCATCGCTAACCTGATCTCGTCCATCTTTCGGCTCTCAGACTTCAACGCTACTGAGATGAACTACAAACTGACCAGCAACAAGGACTTGCACCTGATCTTCTCCTATTTCTTCTATGGTGAGGCTGGCACTTTCTGAAGATGAGTTATTGTTTGTGAACTCTTCAGTAATCTTTTGTAGTTTTGATATTAAAGAGCCCCTATTTTGCATTATAAATGGTTTTGTATTTTGGATTTGGGGGTCTCCAACATTAGGCTGATATGCATGCAAGGTCAAAAACATTTCCATTGTCTTATAATATGCCTTTATTTTAACCTAACTATCCCAACCATTCCAAAATGATTAATTCAGCGATTCATTTGTTCCCAAACCCCTCCTTAGTGCGAAGCTAATCTGTGCTGATTGGTCCGATGACCGAGTCTGTTGTGATTGGTCAACTGAGTTCAGCGTGAGGCCGAGAGAAACGCCCACCACGGCTATGAAGTAGAGCACAGAGAGTATGTGAGAGGCCAATGGAGGAGTGCAACAAAGCAATGCAGTCAAACAACAGCATAATACTCTACTCTTAAACCTAACCCAAGTAATAACAATGCCACACATTCAGTATTAATCCACACAGTGGCCAAAGTTGAACTATTTTGAAAATTGACCGCACCGCGACTGTCTAGGAACAGCTGATGATGCCCATAACAAAGACAAACAGGCAGAGGATTGCAAGTTTAGAAAAGCCTTTAAATCGATAAAGGAAGAAGCACCCGTCACGTTTACAACGTCGGTTTGGATGCAATGTGTAAATCGCCCATACAGTTTTAAACTGAGAGATACGGTTCAAGCATATCTATAACTGTACGTTCACACCGAAAGCGGTGAGAGCATCAGAGTAGAGGAATAAATTTCCGAATAAAGCGCGGGAGCGATCGGGAACGTGTTTAATTTGGGACGGGAGCGGGCTGTCTAGCAATATCTGCGGGCTGTCTAGTAATATGGAAAACAGCTGCTGTGAGGCGTTTTCCCCTCGTTGTCAGACGGCATCTTCTGCAGTTTAAATGAAGCCTTGTCATCGCTAAAGTCAACATTTTCTCTTTATTTCAAATATATAACCAGCCCAAACAAATGTAGTTCACCAAAATGTTGGACACACACACGTAGCCTGTACTGTGCCACTGACACACTGATTTAATAACTGTGACAAAGTGAAAATATAGGCTAGTGTCATTTAGAAATGACAGAAAAACACAAACCGTGGTAAAAACAACACACAAAATAAAACACAAACGGCTCGCGATTAGAATGAACAGCAAATCAGCAGCAGAGGATCAATAACAGACTTTTATTGGTCATTTTTGTAAATTGCACGACTTTCATACCTGTTAAGTTTCATGCAAGTACTCTGGTTTGCTCTCTCTCTCTCTGTGTGTGTGTGTGTGTGTGTGTGTGTGTGTGTGTGTTAAAGAGCCGCTGAGCTAACAGCACAGCTGACAGGCCGGGAACGCACACACACACACACACACACACACACACACACACACACTGTATTTCTGACGGCAGACACGTGAACTGGGAGAACGTTTTTCTCGTATTTCTGACGCGCTTGAACCACATGTGACAGATCATAACGGCTTCAACAGACACATTTCTAAGTTGTGTGTCACAAAAACACTCTGTTATCCATTAAAAACGTCATTGAAACCCATTTTCGGAGCGCAAATTACCAGTTGTACACGCTGTAAACGGAAGTTTTTAACATTCTACCGGAAGACGCTGGTCGCTATGGCGCCCTCCATGCAGCAGCCATGAAAAAGGTCTATAATCCACTCTTAAAGTCTGCATGAACCGGAAGCTGCGACCATTTTTTTTCTTTTCGTATTGTGACGCAGTTCCTGGAGAAACAGAACTTTAAATGAGAAAGCAGTGGGCGTGGCTTGTTTTTTCTTCCATGAGCTGATTAGATGTAGTAAAGTAGGCATTTCAATCAGAAAGATAGGGAAAATGGTTTTGGAAGAGTTGTTACAACCTAACCAATGTGATTGTACTCACATGCAAGAAAATTGTTTCTGTGGATCTGCTCAGGTGTTGCTCCTAAAGAGTCCAGCTTCATGATCAATGCTCTGATGCTGCACCACTTCAAGCGTGGAGCGTATTATCCTAAAGGGGGCGCCAGTGAGATCCCCTTCCACGTTACTAAAGTCATACAGAAATATGGCGGCAGTGTGCTGGTCCGGGCCCCTGTGAGCCGAATTCTGGTCGATAACAAGGGAACTGCATATGGTGAGTACAAAAGACCTCAAAATATAACGTGTACAGTTGAAGTCAGATTTATTAGTGCCCCTGTATATTTTTCCCCCTCATTTCTGTTTAACGGAGAGAAGATCTTTTTCAACATATTACTAAACAATAGTTTTAATGAATTCTTTCTAATAACTGATTTATTTTATCTTTGCCATGATGACAGTAAATAATATTTGACTAGATATTTTTCAAGATACTAGTATTCAGCTTAAAGTGACATTTTAAGGATTAGCTAGGTTAATTTGGGTAACAAGTTAGGTTAAATATGCATATCATTGCATAACATTGGTTTGTTCTGTAGAAAAACAATATTGCCAAAGTGGGCTAATAATTTTTTTTATTTATTTAATTTTTTTTTAAAGATTTATTTTTGGCCTTTATTAGATAGGACAGTATTGAGACAGGAAGTGAAGTAGGAGAAAGAGAGGGGGTAGGGAAGTGTCTTCGAGCCGGGATTCAAACTCACGACACCCTGACGTGCTATTGCACCATATGTTGGCGCGCTAACCACTAGGCTATTGCGCCGATGTGGGTTAATAATGTTGACCTTAAAATTAATTAAAAAAATTTAAAACTGCTTTTATTTTAGCCGAAATAAAACAAATAAGACTTTCTCCAGAAGAAAAAATATTATAGGAAATACTGTGAAAAATTCCTGAATCTGTTAAACAGCATTTGTGCGAATATTTTTTACTTCAAATGTATGTATAAACATTTTCTCAAATATAAATATGCACAGTACACCTACATATATTATGTAAATACTAACTTTTATTTTGCATGCGAATAATCATTGTCCCCACACTAATTGAAATATTTAGTTTGCTCAAACTTAGTTTATATTTGTCCTAATTTTTGTAGCCTTCTCCCACATGTTAGCTTAAAAAAAAATTGTATTTACACATTTGTTTGAAATCAGAGTTTGTAATTTTGTGACTATTTTTAGTTTGGTTCATGGCTCAAAAACTCCTTGCTCATACTGTTTTACCTAAATAAATTGCTTTGTCGTCTTGATTATCTCAGTCTGGGTTTATTTTGCATTGAAAATAGTCAGTTTCTATATTATACACTAAAATCATGAATAAATCAAACTGCTAATGTGTTTTGACTGACAGGAGTGACGGTGAAGAAAGGTGAAGAGCATGTAGAAATCCGAGCTCCTGTCATCATCTCCAACTGTGGGATTTTCAATACTTTCCAGAAGCTTTTACCTACAGAAATACAAACCAAGCCAGGTGAGCTTATTCTGAGTGCTTCAGTTAGATTTATTCTACTGTGTAAGCACTGTTCATCAATTGAATTTCATGTTTTTTAGTATCAGGAAATAATAAAAATTATACGGCCCTTGGCAGGTCTTAAAATTAGGAAGATAAAACCTTGGATGAGCAACATAACACCTTACATGTTATTATGTATTGAACAAAAGTAAAGGCAAGATACAGGGTTGCCAAGTCCATGTTTTTACACGGTTAAAGATTTGTCATATTGCATTAATGATATTAATATGGTTGCATTATAATTTCTTACGTCTTGATATGTACAACTGGATTCTAAAGGGATATCATAGCTTTTTCTCATGACTGTACATGCACTCTTTTCTAACCTTTCAGAGATTCAGAGTCGTCTGGACATGATGAGGCCTGGTAAAGCATCGTTCCTCCTCTTCTCTGGCTTTGATGCCACTCAGGAAGAGCTGGGCATCACGGCCACCAGCACCTGGCTCTTCAAATCCAACGACATGGATGGCATGTCAGTATAAACAAATGTATTCTTCTTTACATATATTTTAGCCATATATTAGCTATACTACTGCATTTAAAGCAGGGGTGTCCAAACTCTGTCCTGGAGGGCTGGTGTCCTGCAGAGTATAGCTCCAACTTGCCTGCCAGATGTTTCTAGTATATGTAGTAAGAGCTTGATTAGCTGGTTCAGGTGTGTTTGATTAGGGTTGGAGCTAAACTCTCCAGGACACCGGCCATCCAGGACCAAGTTTGGACACCCTTGACTTTAAGGGACACTCTGTGTAGATTTCGTGCTATATGCCCTTATTTACAGTAGGCCTACTCAAAAATTATGTATGTACGTCTGTATGTATGACTCAATTTGAGAAAAAAATATATTGTTGTCGACACAAACTCAGGCCAAATGAAAGAAACAATTAAAAGTGTATTTTTTTTGCTCTCTTTACATCTAACCGAAAGATGTTTTACATTATAGAAAGCCAAAAAGTACAAAAAAGGCCTTTAATTTATCCCAAAATCAATTTAGCAAATAAATTTACATAATATTTACCATGGTTGCAGCATGCGCAATGATATTACGCAGCACTGAAAGAGCGTAAAATCTAGATAGGATACACGGCCGGCCGGAAGTGCGATATGCACATCAATATAGCAGCATTTTTTATGACACTGTATAACAATAATTTATATTGTTACAGTACTGTGACGGTTGGGTTTAGGGTTAGGGGTTGACGTCAAAACATTTTATTTGTTAGGTAATTTAATAGATAACATAAATATTACTTGATTGAACTACTGTTTTTATGTTACTGTGATGGTTACCCTGCTGAAAAATCCAGCTTAAACCAGCCTAGGCTGGTTTAAGCTGGATATTTTAGCAGGGTAGGTTTAGGGTTGGGGAAATGAAAGAGGGTTGTTGCTATATCAGAAGTTAACCAAAATGATTTCCATTATTTATGAAATTTCTCCGTATTTTATTAACGTCTAGCCATACCCCAACCTTAAACTCAACCGTCACAAAATGTTATTTATTATTACCCAATAAATTGTATTTTAACGTCTACCCCTACTCTAAACCCAACCGTCACAGTACTGTAAAAATATTAATTATTGTTATACAATGTCATTAATTATGCTTGCATATCTGTAATGATGTGCATATCTGCAGCTGTATCCTATCTAGACTTTGCCTCAAAAGAGTCTTAGCTGGGACTGCTTTTAAGTGCAAGATATGATTAAACGGCAATAAAGTTCTTGGTCAAATCGGCCATGAAAATGGCAACTTTTCATTTTCTGTCGGCTTTATACACAATGTAACTACAGAAGAGCTTTAAATAGATACATATCCAATCTGTTTGGCATTTTTGAGCGAGAAATATGGTCTAATTCGATGATAGATGCTAAGCTAAGCTAAGCTAAGCTAAAAGTGTTCCCGCCAGATCGGAGAACGGCTTGATTTAAATATTGTAACACACAACTGGTTGTTGTAAAATTAGCCTATTTCCAAAAATGACTTTCTTTAAGAAATAAAAAAACGCAGTCCCGACCAGCTGCTGTGGCTAAATGCACCAAAAAATGCTGTAGGACACGTTTAGGGGAAATAAATCATAGATTCGTTTTCATTTTCATTCCCTTTCAACTAATCCACAATTTAAGCGAGCTTTTTTCACAGGTAATTAAATTCAGAAAATTAAAAGCACTTACTGCATCTGCGCGAATGAAACACAAGGTGGCGCCGTTGGCTAAATGCTAATCTCTTTCTCCCTCCATGTGATTGTTTTTTCTGGACTAAGTTTCTTCTCTGAAAAACATTTAATCTGTTCCTGCCTATGGGCAAACATATTTCCAGTCCTTCTCAAACTCTCTGTTCTCTCATGCTGTTTTCTGAAGAAGCTCTATGTCTATTAGCACATGAGATCATCTGTAATGTGTGACTGCAGTCAGTTAAACATAAGTTTTCTCTTGTAGGATGGATGATTTCTTCAGTATGAGTAAAGACGAGGCTCCAGAGAATGTTCCTATGGTTCTCATTACTTTCCCTTCAGCCAAAGACTCACAGACATCACAGATAAGACACCCAGGTAAAGGATGACCGCAGCCTATGGAGGACAAACATGCAAAAAATATAAAATAGATAAATGCATAAATAAAAATTGCATAAATAAACACATGAGTAAATATACACTACAGATCAAAAGTCTGGTCAGTAGGATTTTTAAATGTTTTAAAATAAGCTCCTTCATGCTCATCAAGGCTGCATTAATTTAATCTAAAATACAGTACACATTGTACAGTTGTGAAATGTTATTGCACTATAAAATAACTGTTCAAAAGAACTTTATAATTTAACTTAATCATTTATTCCAGCAATGAACTTAATGATTAATTTTCAGCTTCATTACTCCTGTCTTCAGAGTCACATGATCCTTCAGAAATCACTCTAATATTAAATATTATTACTATTAATATTATTATTATTAATGGTAAAAGTAATAAAAACAATAATGACTCGAGTAATAATTTAATTTGAAACTACATACAATAAGAAACCATTTTATAATAAAAAAATGTGAGTAAATATTTAACAATTTAATAAATGCCGACTTAATGAACAGAATAATTTTCTTTAAAAAAAAACAAGAAAAAAAAATTACCCCAAACTTCTGACCGGTATTGTATATATATATATATATAAATAAGTAAATGCAGAAATAAACGGAGTATTAAATAAATATAAAAATAAACACATAAATAAATAAATACTTAAATACATAAATATTCTAAGGGAAAAACAAATAAATAAAGTTGAATATAATAAAATAAAAAATATATTCATAAAACAATAAATGAAGAAAAAATTACGCATTAGTTATTTTAGGTTTAAATTAAATAAAAATACAATATATCTGTTTTATTAAGTCATAAAATTACAATATTTTTATATTGTTACATCTGTCTATCTATCTCTCTTTCTGGCATATATATATATATATATATATATATATATATATATAATTTTTTATGCAATCATTTATTGTATTCAGATTTTTAAAAATATCTTTTGTAAAGAAGAAGACGACTTATGTATACAAAAAAGTTACAAATTTTACACTGTAATTCTGCTTAATATTATGTGCTGTCATCATAGCAAAGATAAAATAAATCAGTTATTAAAATGAGTTATTAAAACTATCATGTTTGGAAATGTGTTAATCTTCTCTCTGTAGCAGAAATTGGGGAAAAAAATATGAAAGAATCAAAACTTAACAGGAGGGCTAATAATTCTGAATTCAACTGTGTGTTAACGTGATGATCTTCCAGGAAAGTCCTGTATGACCATCCTGACCATGGTGAATTATGAATGGTTCGAGGACTGGAAGGACACGCGAGTGAGGAAACGAGGAGACGATTATTTCAGCTATAAGCAGAGATTTGCAGACCATATCTTTAACTGGGCTTGCCAACATTTCCCCAAACTCAAAGACAAGGTATCAGAAAAAACTGAAGTGTGTACATTTTTCAGTGCTAAAATCCGTTTGTCCTGTCCCTGTTGTAAGTCTTTTAAAGGTGACCTATTATGGCCTTTTTTACAAGATGTAAGACAAGTCTCTGATGTCCCAAGAGTGTGTGTGTAAAGTTTCAGCTCAAAATACCACACAAATAATGTTTTATAATTCTTTGAAACTGCATCTTTTAGGCTTTGATCCTAATTGTGGCATTTTGGTGACTGTGAGATTGCCCTCTTTTCTAAAGAGGGCGGAGCTACACACACCCATGTGTTAGCATAGTGGCAGATTCAAAACTCTAATGGCAGGCGGTTACTTCTTACTCAGGGCTGTTTATGCTAATGAGGGACAGATCATAACTAATGGGCGGGGCTTTCCCCCTCTGATGACACATACAAAGGGAGAATGTCCATCAAACTGTTTCTGCAGACTGATTTTATCAAGTGTGATTATATAGGCTGATTATTTCACACACTGCTGCCACACAACTGTATTTAAACTCCTTATAAAAGTGATTTTTGCATAATTTCTTTTAGCTTGGCTGTAATAAAAGCCACTGTTCTTCAATGACTTGCCTAGTTAACCTACAATAACCGTGTTAAGCTTTTAAAAGGGACCTATTATGCCCATTTTTTCAAGATGTAAAATAAATCTATGTGAAAAGTATGTGAAATTTCAGTTCTAAATGCTACACAAATTATGTTTATAACTCTTTTACACTGACATTTTTAGGCTTTGATTCTAATTGTGGCATTTTGGTGACTGTCGCTTTAAATTTAAATGAGATTGTGCTCTTTTTATAAGAGGGCGGAGCTACAAATGCCTATGTGTAAGCATAGCAGCAGGTTCAAAAGTAATGACGACCAACTGCTTCTCACTCAGGGCTGGTTATGCTAATGAGGGAGAGATGGTCACTAATGGTCGAATGCCAATCATATATATATATATATATATTAGGGATGTAACGGTATCAGAATTTCACGGTACGATAATACCTCGGTATGAATGGCACGGTACGGTATTTATTAAATAATTTACAGGAAAAACAAAACTAATGAAAACACCTTCGAAAAAAGTGCCAAAAGTGTTTATTTACCTTAGTACTGAACATATCAATGACATACAAATTAGCCATCTATCTGTAAGTTTCCAAACAGGAACTTCAATTTTTCAATTTTAATAACAAAAAACTATTAAATCATATAAAAAAAATAAAGTTTCAATTTAGTATTGTTGAAAACTCATCACATTCAACATTTAATCACTCACTCACTTAGATAGAGATGGGTTTTTAAGGAATATTATCATATAACTATAATCTAAAAGCTGGGATCTCTGGGCATGTCCCCTGCAACAGAAAAAAACCCTCTCATTTGGGACTGAGGTTTCTGGGACAGAGAGATATGATTTAGCCAAGGTTGACAGCAGTGGGTAACGTTTTGCATTGTCTTTCCACCACTTGAGAGGACAAACCATGAGTGAGATAGAGGTCTCTTTGCGGTACAAATCAATGTCTGCATCAATCTAACAAGTGTGCTGTGTTCTGCAGTCCCCATGACTGTTATTAGTCGTATTCCCCGACTTATATTTCACCACAGTCTGGCAGTGCCTGCATATTGTTTTTGTCTTTGTCTGTCACCTTTTCTCCTTTTTCGTATCTTTTTAGAAAGAAACCGAAATGCTTCCACACATCCGATTTAAAACCCGCTTTAGGTTTGATCATTTCCAGCTCTTTTTCTTCCCCGCAACACACTCCATTTCCGCATTACTGGATCTGTAGTGAAAACAGTCCGCAAAGGATAATGGCCACGCCTAGGCTGATGGAAATTGTAGTTCCCGCTACCTCCTGTTCGCTTCATTCGCCTAAGCAAACTTTTCTCAGAAATAGTTTTATTGAGTCATGCGCCTACGGTAATATTGAAAAAAATTACTATTGCGGTATGACGGTATTTACAAGATTGCTACATCCCTAGTATATATATATATATATATAAATTGAACAATCAACAATTTAGGATAAAACAATAATAGTAAACAGTATATTTAACCATCAACGTTTTAGGATTCATTTACAGTATATTAATTTACAATTCAGTGTGTGTAATGTTTTTATTGGTCTCTTCTCTTAATCTCTCTTTATTTTTCCCTCCCCCAGCTGGTGTATCAGGAGGCAGCGACTCCTCTGACTAACATGCATTACCTCAGCTGTAACCGAGGGGCCATTTACTCAGCAGATCACAATCTGGAGCGCTTCTACGCTGAGGCCATGGCTCGAAACCGCTGCGATACGCCTGTCAAAAACCTGTATCTGTCAGGTACACTACTGACATCCTCCAGCATATCACCCCCTATGCATAAATCTAACTAGTAAACTGCAAACCATTACACTTTGAATCAACTTTGAAATAAATATTGTAATGTTTGCCACAGCGGAATGAACCGCCAACTATTCCAGCATATGTTTTATGCAGCGGATGCCCTTCCAGCTGCGACCCAGTACTGGGAAACACCCATACACTCTCTCATTCACACACACTCTTACACTACGGACAATTCAGTTCATCTATAGCGCATGTGTTTGGACTGCGAGGGAAACCCACGCCAACACAAGGAGAACATGCAAACTCCACACAGAAATGCCAACTGGCCTAGCTGGGACTCGAACCAGCAGCCTTCTTGCTGCGAAGCGACAGTGCTAACCACTGACCCACCGTGCCGCCCATAGCTATATACCTTTTCATTTAAAAATCAGACTATTGTTTTGACATGTTTCTCCTGTGCGTTTCAGGTCAGGATATATTCAGCTGTGGTATCGCCGGGGCTTTGCATGGTGGTCTCCTGTGTGCGTCTACCGTCCTGAACTACCCGGTGTACATCGACCTCTATTTGCTCAAGAAGAACCTCAAATGGAGGAAAGCCAAGGAGACGGCGAAACTGGCGGAGAAGAAGCAGCAGTGATGAAGAAAGCAGATCTGCGCAGGCAAACTAATGCACATTTCCACACACAGCTAAATCTACTCAGTCCAGAGAATATTTGGTCTCCCTTTAAATAAGAGCAAACAGGTTGGTCATAAGTAAATCTGCTGTTTGTGGAGGTGCTTATGATCCTGATTTTGAGAGATTCAATGTGTTATATTTCAGCTGATTTCATCTAAGGCCGTGACTGAAGTCGGTTGTAGTTTTGTGTTTCTCTTCTGTGTTTCTGTTCATTAGCAGCAAGTGTTCATCATCAGTGCTCAATCATCACCCAATTAATCCTTTCAATAGCCCCTTTCACACAGTGATACCGGTAAATATTCGGAAAATTTCCGGAACGACTTTACCGGTAAATTTAAAAAAGCGCTGTTCACACAGGCGAGGACGTTACGGAATTTTTCCGGAAAAGAGCATTCACACATCCATCGCAAAATGCCGGTAAATTCTGACATCATTAACCAGAAATGACCTCTAAACGGCTGCGCTTGTGTTTGTAAACATTTGACTACATCACAAACTCTTTGGATGGATCAGTATTGAGTACAGCTCCTATGAAAACATATAGAGGAACACTTTCGCATGTCGAGATGTGCATGATATGTGTGTGTGCTGGCGCTATGGGCGCTCACGGGCACACGCAAAGCTTGAAGGTAAACAAACAACGGATTATCATAAACATTTTATCGATAATTATTTACACAGTTGGCATTAAGAAGGAACATAGAAACGTTATCTGACTAACATCTAGCAGCTAAAGGTGTCTGGAAAAGTATTCAAAGGCTTTTAATCTCATAAACTGCGCGCACATGAATGCGTCTGACTGCTCTGATTGGCTAAAGCAGGTGTCTCACTTCAGCACGTTCTAAATGTGCACACGCTCTTTCCGGCAATCTTCCTTCTGCATTCACACAGCGCAGCATTCCGGCAAATTGCCATTAATGTTACAACTTCTCTTTCCAGAAAATAGCCAGAACGAATTTACCGGTATTTTCAAAAAGGGCCTGTTCACACATACAACCTTTCCGGAAAATTGCCGGTAATTTTCCGGAAAGGTCTGTATGTGTGAAAGGGGCTATTGTCTCATTTAAGCTGCGGTCACACTGGGCTTTTCCTCCAATAGACTGATTTCACGCGGCCGCCATTTTCAAAAGCGAAATCGAGGCTGCGGTGGGAAGAAACCCGGAAGTATCATTGGGAGTTACATAGGAATGTTGTGCAACTGGCTGTATTTCTTATCAGCAAAGATAAAGTGACACAAATTTATAATTTCTCCGCCTTCCGGGTGACCCGAAGGTCCGTTCTGAATGAATGCTGAATATAAAAAGGGATATCAGAGCTGATTTTCAGCTAAGTTAGGGAAAATGGCACTAGTTAGTTAACGTTTTCTTTCCCAAACACATGTTTTAGATGCCATTCATCAAACTCGAGTTAATAAACTGATTTCTAGACTTGTCACTATACTGAATAAAAAGAAAAACCGGCAATTTCGCGTAAAGATTTAAGGCAATGTTGACGGCTTTCTTAAACAGCGCTGATTTGCCATTGTGTTCACGTGTTTAACAGAAATGATTGTGATTGGCCGAGAAGGTCATCAGTTCACCCACCGCTGTATACTGAGCACAAACACAGACGAGCCGAGCGATCTGCTTGATGACTCGACTGATCTTGACGGCTGCTTCGCGCTCCAGTCCGTGTATCTGTGTTTTCACTGGGTGAAGAGCGGTAAACTGAGCGCAAACCAAACACAGATACACGGAGACGGAAGCCATGAAGATCCGTCGAGTCATCCGCGCTGAGCAGCGCTTCCATGTTAGCGGGAAATAGTCGGGTTTAAAACTTCAGGACCAGGTCAACACTATCACAGACAACACGATGATGTGCTGCAGAGGACTGCAGTGTTTATCACTCACCGGGTTACACAGGCTGAAGCAGGAAAGCGTCCTCACAGTGTTTAACTAGTGCCATGAGCTGAAGCCTAGGAGGACACTTAAGCATATCACTAAAATTGTGATCTTGTTTGATGCTAAATTGCTTTTATTTGTTTAAAGTAAACCTACTGAATGATATTGAGGTGATGTTTACACGATTTCTGCATTTTGATATCTCAGCAACAGCTGGAGGTTTGTAGTACACAGTATATTACTGCAATGTTTAGAGTGCTGGTCTTATACTTCCGGGTTTCTTCCCACCGCAGCCTCGCTTTGGTTCTTTAAAATGGCGGCCGCGTGAAATAAGCGTATAGTCTTCCAATCATACGCACACGAATGCGTCAGACTGGAAACGCAAGGTCATGCGGCAAGTTTTGCAGGTTGCTGCGGTGCAAAGTTCAAGATTGGTGAACTCTGACCTGCGAAATCGCATCACTTGACTGCGTGAGACCAATCGAGGATCAAAACATGACCTCTCTGGACAGAAATGTAAAACATGGAGCAATCGCTCGCTTTTTTTTAATGTCTAATAAGCTTGTTTAATCCCGCCCCTTTTCACAGCGCCGCTCGACAGAATTTCGCAAACTCAAACTCTGGTGTGACCGCAGCTTTACATGAGTAACTCAATTTAGAGAGGGGCCAAATACTATTTAAACCAAGTAAAATTGACTCAGAGGATTTTGCTGTGCAGGAACAAAATAACATATTTATAAGTATGAAAGATCTGTCTTTGATCGTTACTTTTAGTTATTTACCAGATAGATATTTTAATATTTTATTGTAACCTTCAACAGTGTGTTCTGCCAAATCTGATGTTAAATACTCTATGAAATAGAAATAAAATCTAAAACACATTGTTTTTTTTTAATGTATGGTTTATTCATTCGTTTTCTTTTCAGCTTAGTCCCTTTAATACTCAAGGGTCGCCACAGCGGAATGAACCGCCAACTTATCCAGCATGTTTTTACGCAGCGGATGCCCTTCCAGGAAACATGTACGGTTTATTTAAATGTTATTTACCTAAAGTGCTACAATAAAGAGCACAGTGATATTTTATTTTTAGGCCAACATGACAGTTTGCATTGCCATCGCTCACTCGACTAAAACCCAATAGTAGTTTTCTCCTGGATTTTAGATGACCGCATAAAATAAACTCTGTCATTTTAATATTTTTGTTGATTTGACTAGGCGAGGCAGTGGCGCCGTAGGAAGTGCTGTCGCCTCACAGCAAGAAGGTCGCTGGTTCGAACTTCGGCTCAGTTGGCGTTTCTGTGTGGAGTTTGCATGTTCTCCCTGCGTTCGCGTGGGTTTCCTCCGGGTGTTCCGGTTTCCCCCACTGTCCAAAGACATGCGGTGCAGGTGAATTGGGTAGGCTAAATTGGTGAATTGAGTAGGCTTTATTAATCCAGGGTCGCCACAACGGAATAAACCGCCAACTTATCCAGCAAGTTTTTATGCAGCGGATGCCCTTCCAGCCGCAACCCATCGCTGGGAAACATTCACACACACACTCATACACTACGGACAATTTAGCCTACCCAACTCACCTGTACCGCATGTCTTTGGACTGTGGGGGAAACCGGAGCACCCGGAGGAAACCCACGCGAATGCTTGGAGAACATGCAAACTCCACACAGAAACGCCAACTGAGCTGAGGCTCAAACCAGTGACTTAGCGACCTTCTTGCTGTGAGGCGACAGCACTACCTACTGCGCCACTGCTTCGTCTGGCAGAGGTGTGATAAAAACAAAACACTATTTGCTGTATTTTAAAAGGGGAGGAGCTACCGTATGTCCCGCCTCTCTTTATGTTTCAGTTGACATAGTCAAACATCGAATACAAAAATGCACACTTCAAAGCACTTCATGGGAACTTTAAAACCAGTGTCACCTTTTTTTATCCCAGATGGTTATCGAACACTTGTAAAACTAAACACTACATCAACACCTTTCCATAAAAAGTAAAGCTTTTCCAACAGGACCTCACACCTGTATCCCCTCCTGACCCCTGCTTGATCCCAATGCATATTTGTGCACCAGCAGGAATCAAAGGATCTGTGGGAAACCTCAGACTTCCTGATTTAAGTGGACATTTCCCTTGGGATTTCCTTACAGATCGGTTGGCATAACATGGGCTGTGATGGACGTGTGGATTCAGGAGGAGGAGGTTATGAATGCTCTCAGTGTGATGCAGAGCTCCACATACAGCTCTACTCCTGTACGCATGATTGAAATAAAATTCGCTTATACTGGCAACATTAGCAGCGTTTCAACTCCGAGTCTGCATTTGAAGACCAGTCATGGCTTGACATGGCCTGTTTGTGTGTGTGTGTGTATATATATATATATATATATGTATATATATGTAATTATATACATGTATATATATGTAATTACATACATGTATAATCAAGCATAAGTACACAGTAAATACATGTATTTACACAATAAGTACATTGTAATAAACTATTAACTCCTGTGTAAGTACATTAGTTAAGGCCACAATATAAAGTGGGACCGAAAAAATATTATAGGAAATACTGTGAAAAGTTCCTAAATCTCTTAAACAGCATTTGGGAAATATTAGAAAAAGAAAATAAAATTCACAGGAAGGCGAATAATTGAAACTGTAAATGAGTGTATATTTTAGGAGTCAGAAAACGAAATCTAATTCATCACAACTGTTGAGACGAAGACATACAGCAGTTCAAAACACGTGTTAAACAAATTTCCTTAAAAGCCTTTTAACAAAATGTAGTACTCCTTCTGTCTTTAAACTGAGAATTATGAAAATGTCGGATTACACACTGTCAGACAGTCCAGAATAAACAGCAGCGAGCTTCTTTAAGATGCAAGGGGAAGCGAGTTTTGTTTGAACGCCGACCAGAAGCACTTAAGAGTGAATGATGAGTTAAATGGAGCCAGCAATACCGCAGCGTTTCATGGATGATTACAGCAGCATTAGTGCACAGAAATGCAGTAGTGTACAGTCAATTATTCAAACACTGTAAATGATTAAATAGGAGCAAAACTAGATAGAAGGGTGGCAAAAAAAATGACGTTAGCTGTTTCTACTACTTAAAATAAGCTGCAGCAACACAATTTTTAAGTTTTAGGGAAGGACAACTTTTATATTTTTGTTCAATCCACTTAAATTTGTAAAAAGTAATCAGAAAAATTCCTTTATGTTGTCCCAACACAAATCAGTTAAGTGCAACCCTGCATTTTTTACAGTGTGACTATGATTTAATCAATCAG